AAATTAAGGCTATAACAGAGTAGATGAGGCAGGAGCTTGGATTTCAGACATTCCTTTTGTCCTGTCCCGCCTCAAAAAGGGTGTTCTCTAGAATTTGTTTATTGCCTTGCTTGTTCCTTAGGGAGGTGTCAGCCTCAGACTCAAAAGAAGTTCAAAACAGCTTTTGGGCCAGGCCAAAATTGTTGAGTGTGATAGAAGACAAAACGGCTTTGGTTCCTCTGATGTGTATTAGGTCTTATCAGTAACTAAAAACCTAATCTTAAATTAATAATTAAAAGAAAAAGGGTTTTAAAAGATTGATAGATACTGGGGCTATTTAACAATTATTAGAAGACAAGACCTTCAAACCTCCGCCAGCGCCCTACTAAAAGGCGGACTAATGATCCTTAATCAACACCTTGATTTAGTGAGAGAGAGATTAGATATCCTCTTTCAATTAGCCCAATTGAGATGTGAGAGAAAACTGGGTACACTTTACATCACCAGTGTACAGTATAAAAACTTTACTCATGTAACTAATCTGTCCAGAAAATTGTTTCAATATCTTACAGGAAATTGGTCAAAAAAAACTTCAGTGAGACACTCAGAAAATTGAGAGCAGCTGTGGTGAACATCGACTTGACGCGCGTGGATCTGTCCCTGACTGAGGGACTGTCCTCCTGGAATTCTTCAGCTTTCTTCTTTTCTTTTCTTTTTCTTTCCTTTTTTTTTAAGTGGGTGGGAGTAGGCCTGCTTGGTATGTCCTATGTTGCGGATTAGTGTTCATTTTTTGGTTGGCTTGCAAACTCAGAGCTCAACAAAATCTTGACAAGGCTATTATTGGCCAGGCGCTTGTGACCAAAGTACTAGGGGCTTCCCCTGCAGTGTGGCTATCACTGCTTCAAAAATAAGTAGTCTCCCCCTCACGAGTGGTGGTGATAAATGTTAGGCCATCAGCGTTGCACCCCAAAAGATTTGCCCATTACACTGGGTCAGTGAGGAGTCTTGGCCTGGCTGGTCCTTGTCTGTGTAGCTGTGGTACCTGAATTTTGAGGCAAACAGCCCTTGCACCCCTAGGAGATGACTCCATTGCAGAGGGATGGGTGTTTGCATCTCTTTCTGGTCCCCTTAGCCCTTGCACCCAGAGGACTTGTTTCCATTGCACCTGGTAGGGTAAGGGAGACTGTCTTAAACTATTAGTCCTTGATCGCTTATTCCCCCAAGATAGAATTTGCTTGATCGGGCTTGAGTTTGAGTCATAACTGGTACCACGCCAGACAGGCCAAGAACAGCCAGATAGACAACTCCATCTTTTTGTCTCCAGGACAGCTGCCATTGGTCCCAATGATGGGAATTAGGCTGACGCCACATGCCAGATTTACACCATGAAGACAACTGAGGAATTGATGACAAGCCAACCCCATGACGGGATTAGCGAGTGGCAATGACCCGGGCGCGGGTATATCCCTCGTAGCCTAAGACAGGGTGGCTTGCCTTTCCTTGGTGTTAGCCCTATTGGTGCTGGGCATAGAGAAACGTCAGCTAGCCTGGGGACATTGACTGGGACATTGACCAGTGCCTGTTTAACAAAACAAAAGGAGATAGCCAATAGACAGATTCCTGAGCTGCTGTACCCAAAGGCTTCTGGTAAAGACACCCTGTAAAGCCTCAAACATTTCTATACACAGTCCCTGCCCACTAAGGTGTTTGTTCCACGGATAGAAGGTCTGGTAAGTCAATAACGGAGTGGACGGATAAGTCTCAGCCACCTAAGACAGGACAGCCTCGGGTGGGGAGGCTGACCCCGTGACGGGTAAGAGTTTGAGCACCGCCCTCTAAAGAGACTCAGACCCGCCGTGAGACCCCCAAATATGGGAGTTATGTAACCTTCCCAGGGACCTCTACCACCCTCTGTATTAAAACAAAAAGGGGCAGATGTAGGGAGCCGCGGCGGGTGCTGGCAAAGTCCGCCATCGCTAGGTGGCGCTATCAGCCATAATTCTTCCTAGTAAACAAGTAAATTGCGCATGTGCCATGGTAAAAGCCCGCCAAAGTTAAAGCCCATCCCACGGCGTTTGGCGCGCAACGAGTAAGCAGCCAATCAGAGGTGAATACAGCGCTCTAGGGTATATAGCAGTGCTTTCCCAGGTCTTCTTCCACCATTTTGGTTTTTGGGAATAAACGTGTTCTTACGGAAGGATTCTGGTGTGTGTGTGCGTGTGCGTTCTTGCCGGCGAGACAATTACACGCGCGCCGCACAAAGGACGGTTGTGAACCACTAAGTGGGAGCTGGGAATCAAACCTGGGTCCTCTGCAAGACCAACAAGTACTCTTAACTGCTGAGTCATCTTTCCAGCCCTCAATAATGTGTCTGAATATTTTGATTGTATGTAGGTATGTACTTTGTGTGCACTCCTGGTGCTAGAAGAGGGAGGCAAGAAGAGGGAGTTAGAGTTCTTGGAACTGGAGTTACTAACAGTGTAAGTCACCACAGGGGCACTGAAAGTAACCTTGGATCCTTTTTAACTATTTTGAACTGCTGTATTCTCTCACCAGCCAGCAATATTTAGTTTCTATAAATATAGAAACTGTTCCTATTTATCTATGAGACACTGAGGAATTTAGTGCAACTTGAAACCTTTCGTGGGCCCTAAATTATATTTCTCCACTAGAAAGTGAAAATGCTTTTTTAAAATTTTATTTATTTAATGTATGAGTGCTGTGCTGCATATGCATCTGCTTGCCTGAAGAGGGCATCAGATTCCCCTATAGATGGTTGTGAGCCACCATGTGGTTGCTGGGAATTGATCTCAGGACCTTTGGAAGAGCAGCCAGTGCCAGTAACTACTGAGCCAGCTCACCAGCCCTGAGAATACATTTTAAAGAGAAAACTTAGCTCCAGAATACTTTTTGCCAAACTCTGTTCCCTGAATTCTAGGTTCTTGAGATATTAAAGGTAGTATGTGAAGATGCTCCAGTAGTGAACTTGATGCTCTGTGAGTCCACTATGCCCATACACCAGAGGCTCAAGACTGCTGGAGGGGAGGAGGACAGAGAAAGGGGGAGAGGAAAGAAGAAGGGGGAGCAGATATCTTGCAACATTTACTGAATTCTTTTAGCAAATCCGAATACTTTTTCAGAGACTATCAACAGTCTAGAAGCTAGTGGTGACTTTTTTGCCGGGGTTGGGGGGTGGGGGTGGGGGAAAGGCAGTCATATGAAGTCTTTGTGCCTGTCTCCTAGGTGCTGAGGTTACAGGTATCAATCACTATTCCAGTGGAAACAGGCTTTATTTTTTCAAATCTTGATTATTCTATTTCTATTTGTTGTGGTTGTGTATGTGAATATATAACGTGTGGCTTCATACATGCCATGGAAGGGTATGTGGAAGTCTGTCCCGTCCTTCCCCTGTGGGTTCCAGAGACTTGTGTGGTAAATGATTTTTACCCACTGAAACATTTTTATTTCTCTGAGACGGTCCCACTCTGTAGCCCAGGCTGCCCTGGAATCCCCAGCATTCCTGTCCTGGTGTCCTCCGTATGTTGAGATCACAGGCATGACCTATAGTAACGGCCAGCTCAGGATCATGGTTTCCATAGTCCCTTTCTGCACTCTGCTTCTTGAAGACTCAGAGTGCGATGAAGTATCACTAAGGAAGCCTTGGCTCAGCAGGGAGAGGTGAGGAGCTGCTCGACTCTGCTGGACTGACTGCAGCAACAGCAGGAAGGCTGATGCTTCCTCCAGTGAGTGTGGGGTTTGATGGCTTGAGAAATGCCAGCAGTCATGTTTGAGACACTGTCAACAAGTGTTCCTCACTTGCAAAGGTAGTTCTGAGTGTCTGCAATCCCAGTACTCAGGAGACATAGGGCACAGGCAGGAAAATTAGGGGTTCAAGGCCACTGAGGCCCACAAGACCCCCTGTCTACAAACAAACAGCAAGGAAGCAAACAGAGCACTCCATTACCTTAGCAACAAAGAAAAGAAAACAAGTGTCTATTTGGAAGAGTGAACAATTCGCAAATACAAGATGAATAAATTAGCTCATGTTCCACAACTGTCATTTTCATTATTGTTTAGGAGAAAATTTTATCAGTTAACATAAAATCCAATGCAAAACTGAAGAGATGCCGGGCAGTGGTGGCGCACACCTTTAATCCCAGCACTTGGTCTCTAAAAACCAAACCAAACCAAACCAAACCAAAAAAAAAAAAAAAAAAACACTGAAGAGATACCCAGGCATGGTAGCACACGTCTTTAATCCTAGTACTCCAAGGCAGAGGCAGGAGTTGTTCTGTGAGTTCAAGACCAGCCTGATTTACAAAAAAAGGCCAAGCCAGTGAGGACTATACAGTGAGACCCAAGAACAGTGTGTCTCAGAAACCCCAAAACAATCAAGAAACAAAATATTCCCCAAACCATGCTCCCCCAAAACAGCAAAAAGAAAAAGCTCAATTATAGAACACAAATGTGCCATTTACTATTATTGGGTACAATTTTTGTTTGTTTGTTTGTTTTTTGTTTTTTCGAGACAGGGTTTCTCTGTGTAGCCCTGGCTGTCCTGGAACTCACTCTAGACCAGGCTGGCCTTGAATTCAGAAATCTGCCTGCCTCTACTTCCTAAGTGCTGGGATTAAAGGCGCACACCACCACTACCCGGCTATTGGGTACAAATTACCAGACTATTTTTCAAAACCTATATAAACTCTCAAAGCCATGTAGCACTTAAACATGATGGCGGTGATAAAGGGAACTGTGATGATTTCCCTGAAATACTCACTGAGTGCCAACTCCACCCTCCAAGACCATTTTCTCCCACAGTAATTCTATAATGACTATAGGAACAAGACAAGCATTTTCAGCTTTCCTTCCTAACCACGTACTCTGAGGTAGGCATATGAAATCATAGACTGTTCTTTTCTAAACTAGTGACTGCAGCTGGCGCTGGAGCAACTTTCCAGTCTAAGACCCCAGCGGGCCTCCTCCCCTCGCTCAGTGTTCCCTGGTCAGCACCAGACACTTACCCTCTCATACTCATCCTTGGCTCTGCTCAGCATCTCCAGGATATCTATGGGCCGCTGGTCGCTGCAGCCATTGGCCTGGCTGGGACTTTGTTTATCTCGAGCAGCCTGCTGGGAGCGCCGTGTCTCCTCTTCTACCACACTGTAGGAGGAAGACAGGCTTCAGAAAAGCCACTTTACACAACTGGACCCAAGTGCTCTCTTGTCCACTTTCTGAGGATAAAGTAAGAGTGTCACATGACACAGTCCTTGCAATAGATAAAGAGCCTGCCTCTGGATTTCTGAGTTCGAGGCCAGCCTGGTCTACCGAGTGAGTTCCAGGACAGCCAGGGCTACACAGAGAAACCCTGTCTCGAAAAAACCAAAAACCAAAAAAAAAAAAGAGCCTGCCTCAGTTACCTCATTCCAGACACACATAACTTAACCACATCAACATTCTATTCATAACAGCAAAGTCCTTTGCCTTTAGAAATAAAAAACAAAAGCCAAAAAAAAAGAAATAAAAAACAGCATCTTTTTCTGGCGGTAGTAGAAGTAGGTACGTTAAGAAATCCATTTAAGTGTCTCCTTTTCTCCTACAAGTAACTCAAACCCAGTAGAACTAAGTGGAGCCTCGACATCACTAAGACACAGAAGACTGGTGTGACTAGCATTGAAAACGGGTGTTGCTGAATCTCTGTAAGCAGACAAAAGGCTCTGCATTAATGTGACCACACTCAGGGTGGCTAGGGTATGTACTCTACTTTTATTGGCTCTATTTAATTCTTTACTTCAAATTCTACAAGGCAAAGTCTGAAGTTAAGAAAGCCACTGTCGGGTTTGGGGCTCTCTAACTCTTTTTACAGGCATACATTTTAAAATAACATCCTTGCTCCTCACCAGAGAAAAGGTTTGAAGTAATTCAGCAATTTCAGTAAATGTTAGGAACTAAAAGCTGGATGGGAACCACACAGGTATTTTATTTCCTGTGTAGATTTTAATAATGCAGCTAATTTTACAAAATGCATTCAGATTTCAGTCACTTCCTGCCACGGGTGCGAGTCTCATCCGGTAACCGCGTTAACTGAGAAGTGATACACAATGATGACAGGCAGTAACCTAACAATGTAGGAGCACAAGGCTTATTCTGAAAGGACGTGAGCAACATGAGTGACATGAGCAACTTTAATAAGGCGAGGTCACCCAGCATACCGCCAACTTAACCACAACTCACAACCTAACTCAACAACAGCCTGCCTGCCCAAGACTCCTCATCAGTCATCAGTGTGTGTGTCAAAGATGCTCACTGTTTAAACAATATCACTTAAAAAAAAAAAAAGATCGTTCTGTTGGTAAAACACGCGCTTTGCAAACATAAGGACCTGAGTTAGAGTTCTAGAACTTATATAAAAAAGATATGAGCTGGCTCAATTGATAAAATGCTTGCTGTGATCTGCAGACTGAGTTCCTGGACAGTCAGGACTACATAGAGAAACACTTACGTTTTCCCTCTGCACACCCCACATACTTGTGCACACACACAGACACACAACGAAAGAGTGCTCACCGGGGGAGAGGGGAGAAAACAAAAGAAGCCAGGACCACCAGCACTGGGATGTGCTCATCCAGAACGGGCAGGGCCCCATTAATCATTAATTAAGAAAATGCCCTACAGGCTTATGGAGGAAACGTTTCAATTAAGGCTTCCTCTTCTCTGAGGACTCTAGCTTGTGTTAGGTTGTTGTGTTGTTGATAGTAAACAACAAACAAAAGCCCCCAACAAAAAACCCAACCCAACCCAACCCAACCCAACCCAACCCAACCCAACCCAACCCAACCCAACCAAGATGTTACTCCAGCACCATGTCTGTCTGCCACCATGCTCCCAACCCAGGCAGTCCTGGGCTCAGCATTAGAAGCTGTGAGCCTCAATAAACTCTTCCTTATGTAAATTGCCCTCCTCATGGTCTCTTCAAAACAACTGAAGAGGAACTAAGGCTTCTCAAAGCCCAAAACATGCACATCAGACAGTAAGAAAAGGGATTAAAAAAACAAAAAACAAAACACTGGGTGGTGGTCGCAAACGCCTTTAATCCCAGCACTTGGGAGGCAGAGACAGGTGGATTTCTGAGTTTGAGGCCAGCCTGGTCTACAGAGTGAGCTCCAGGACAGCCAGAACTACACCAGAAACCCTGTTTCGAAAAACTAAAAAAAAAAAGGATAAGACCAGCTTTCACAAGCTCTCCAAAGCTTATACAGCCATTTCCGAGCAAACATTCTAAGTTTTAATGTTAGGTTTAGAATCCTGTCATTGACCAAAGAGCATGCACATTTTAGATCTAGTAAATTTAGGCAATTTCCTACATGGCTTCTCAGCTTTGAGCTGAAGAATTTTTATTATACAGTGGCTATCAAAGGAGTTATGAGAATAACTATATAAAAAAGAATGAGGGCTGACCGACAGACATGCTTTATCTATTGTAGTTGTCGGAACATGCCAAGCAGTACGTTACTCCTGATCTTCACAAACTCACTTGTTTAAATGTGTAAGATGGCAAAGTTTTAGCAGCATTTTTAGTGAGATGATACTGTGAGTTACATAGAGTATGCAGGGAGATATATAATAATGAAAGATTTTTTTCCTCCTTCTTTTTCTTCAATCTTTGGTGACCAGGGTCATTCATCCCAAAGTTTGTGGCGGCATTTGTGAGGCATTCTCTTCAGATATAAAAGGTCATTATCAACTGCGCACACTTTAACGACACAAGGTCTTCTCCCACTCCCTTTTTATGTAGCTGGAATGTGCCTTGTCATCCAGGCTGATCTTAAACTCACAATCCTCTCACCTCAGTACTTGAGCACTGGGATTAGAGACATCCAGAACCACTGTTAGTGATTTCCTTCACTTCTCACTTCTATTTCCATACCTATTGTAGGGATTAGCACAGCTGTTCAGACGGGCTTTCAGTCTTCAGTGCCAATAACCACTGAAGGTTATTATCTGCAGTGCCACCAAGGCCCCCAGAAAACACTTCAAGATGATTTTCCCTCAGTAGTTGTCGGGGCTCACACAGACATATTCTCTCATTCAGGCCTACATGCTCTAATGTGGCAGAAGAACATCAATCTATTGAAACATTCCAAAGTTTTCCTCCTTTAGTTGTCTTCTAAGCTCCTCCCATTTTCAAAACAAAACAGAACAAAAAAAGCAAGTATCAAATAAATGCCTTGGTTGAGGTCATGAGGCAGGTGCCCCAGGAAGGCACTGATGGCTCTCTCTGCGAGATAGACTCTCAGAGACAGCATGTTTGTTCTCTCATGTGATGTGCTCCACTCCATAATACACCAAGGTCCTTTGTAGATATCAGCCCATGTTCCTGAACTTCTAGCTATACCACACCTACAACCATGAGCAGCATAAATCTTTATCTTCATAAATTAAATGAACACCACTGTTGAGAAGTAGTGTAACTTTACAGACAAAATGTTTTAAAAGGAAGTGTGCTTCTACAAAGCCAACACTCTCTCTAGAAACTGTCACCTTACAGGCAGCAAAGTCCTGAAGGTGCAGCTTGTGGTAAACACACCTGGTCTGCCTTGCACAGCCAAAGCAGATGACAGAACAGCAAGAAGATTAACATTCAATCAGGACACACCAGTAGACCTGGGTTATAATTTGGCCTTTGTATGGCATACCTAGAATTGAGGCTACTGATTAAACTATTATACTTTCAGAATGACTAACTAAAAAGTTAAAAGAACCAAGACTATTTTCCTCCAAACACAGATATAAACCTTGAAGAGAGTATCAGAATTTTGACTTGGCAGGAGAGTAAAAAGAGTTCATTGCAGATTCAAGCAAAAACTAAAGAGGAAGCCAATATATGCCAGAGCAGACTGCCCACTGCACATTTTGCTCTAGTTCTGTATCATCCCAGGCCCCACCTAGCACAACAGTGTTTTGGGCTCCCAGAATTCAGATGGGCAATCTTGCATTATGGTCACTCAAAAGCTAACTTCTACAGGCTAGCACAGGAGTAAAAAGCCATCCTTTAGATCATTAATTCAATGGAAATTATTTTCTAAATTTCAAGATTGTTAGTCTTAAATATCTTCTGGAAGACTAACTGTATATGCGGGAGATTGTTAAACCAAGTTCATCTAAAGGATATGTAATCTGTGTCAAGCTACCAAACACAGCAGCACTCATCACAGTAGAGATTAGTATATCACTGTATATGGCCGTCACGCTATGTCCTGATACACCTCATATTCTTTGCCAGGCAATCAGGCAGCTGTACCTGTTAAACTGAACTGTCTGTAGGACTGGATACAATGGCTAAGTGCTACAAAGGGAAATTTAATAACAGCATCTAAAAAGATGTTGTTGAGATTAAATCATTAAACAAATATCCTTACATTTGTAAGTAATAATCACAAACATCAATCTAATGTATAGACACACAGATTAAAAGAGAACAGACATTGTAAATACACTGGAACTAATAGGACTGATTACAGGTAATTTTAGAAAAATAAAATCTGCCTTTGTCAAACTTTTGGCAATAAAGAGGAAATTAAGAGTAATATGATATACATTAACTGGGGGATATTAGTACTGAAGGGCAGTTGGGGTTAGAGTAATGTTTCACCTCTCATTAATCTATGAATATACTTACTCAGCCATGAGTTTTGCTATGCGGTGACAGTCATTCTTGTCATAAAACCAGATACTGTATATTGACACTTGAAAAACAAAGGAAAAGAAAAGAGATAAGCATACAATTTTCAAGTTTGAGTACATGAACAATATAATACAGGACTCACCACCAGATCTTCCAATTATTAGTAATCCCTCTAAAGAAAAAAATAAAAGGAATAAAACGAAACACAGAACCTTTCCCCAAAGCTGTTAGAATCAGGACAGGCAAAGCACTCAAGATGTTAATAACAAAAACCAAGTGAGGCTCAGTAACATATGCCTATAATCCCAGCTACTCTGGAGGCTGAGGCAGGAAGACTGCTAGTTCATGGCCAGCCTAGGTAACTAAGCAAGGCTGTCACAAAATAAAATTTAAAAGTCTGTTGGGAATATATATAACTCAGTGGGCTGGGGTCATCCCCAGTAAAAAAAACTCCCTAAAACAAAACATAGACATACACAGACCCTGCCCCTACCTTCCCCCCTCCACAGAGTTTTAAACATCATAATCTGCCACTAAATATCAAATGCACTATTACTTACATATTATCAAGAAAGACTGCTGATTAAACTAAGATTCAATCAGTATGGATGATAATTCCAAACTAACAAGAAAGTAAAACCAAGTTTACTGGCTAGACAAAAAAGCAGAATTTGTGAGTTTCTTCAACCTTAACTAGAATAAAATTAAACTACAATGAAAAAGTTTTAAGAGAAAGTTTTGAAATAACTGTTTCCACATGCTGTCAACTGACCAACTGCTCACACAAGCTGTGAGTCCGGCACACTGTTTTTTGCCACCTTTTTTATTCCTAGTATGGTGGTCCACACAACCAAAGACTTAAAAATTGTTGTTGCAAGATAAATGACTTTTATCATAAAAGATGACAATATATAAATTAGCTATTACAGCAGTTTTTGGATATGGTGTGCAGAAATACTGAAGATGTAAGCCAAAATACATAAAGCCCCCAGCTGAGGAAGGCCTACTGACTGCTGTGATGTAGGACCCCAGGGATACAGTCCATCACCTGGAGGTAAATCACTGGGCCAGGAGCTAAGGCAGCTGGGCTCACTATGCCCACAGGGAGGAAGCAAAATGTTGTGTGCTACTGTGGAGCTACTCTGTTTGTCTGGAAGTTAGAGCAAGTCTTTCCACATCAATGAACCTAATCTAGGTTAACTCCTCATGGGCATGTCCAGAGGCTTGTCTCCTAGGTGACACTAGATCCTGTCAGGCTGGCAAAGCACTGACCATCATATCATCTAATGCACCTGGGTTTGTTTGTTTGTTTGTTTTTTTCCCTCTTAGAAACAGCTTCCCTCTAGCCAGGAAGCTTTTCTATCTTTGTAAATAGCAGTGGAAATTTTTGTATTTATCTGTTTCTGGACTTTTTCATGCCCATTTATTTGTCTATTTCTATAATGTCTTGAGTAGGATAGTTATAAAATAGGCCTTAATAATTGTACAGCCGTTTCTTTTGTAATGGCCGGTTCTGCTACTTTGTAAAGGCCGGCCAGTTCTGCTGCTCTGGTCCGCAGGCCAGGGTCTAGTAAGAGAGAGAGTGGGGACAGAGGAAGGGCGAAAAAGGGGCGAGAGACGCAAAAGATAGATACAAGACAGAGTCCGGTGGAGTCTCTTCAAGTCTCTTCTTTATTCTCCTCACTCCTTCTATATTCTCCTCACTCCTTCAGCCTCCTCACACCTTTCACACATAGAAAGGAAATCCTGGGTATTTATACCCTTTACCACATGACTCGCCCCCGTGGACAAGCTCAACTGAAACCACATGCCTTGTAACCATGAATACCAGGAGCACCTTGCAGCTGGGGGCACTAAACAGTGTAACAAGATGTTTATCAGAGTGTGCTGAGCTATTGCAGGCTGTTGAAAACAAGTCTCTTGTCAGGGTATATGGTTCGAGATGGCTGTAAAGATGACAGCCGCTTTCGGCTAAGAGTCGGCTCCCAACAGATAATGAGTAGAGTTGCTGGGCAGTGGTGGCGCACGCCTTTAGTCCCAGCACTTGGGAGCCAGAGGCAGGTGGATTTCTGAGTTCGAGGCCAGCCTGGTCTACAGAGTGAGTTCCAGGACAGCCAGGGCTACACAGAGAAACCCCGTCTCCAAAAGACCAAAAAAAAAAAAAAAAAAAAAAAAAAAAACCAAAAAAACCAAAAAAAACCCAAAGAGTAGAGTTGCCATGTACTTTAAGACAGTCATAGTCAGTGTTCTAATGCTGTGAAGAGACACCATGACCAAGACAACTCTATAAAAAATTTTAATTGGGACTAGTTTGTAAGCCAGGACAATTCAGAGGTTTAGTCCATTATCATCATGGCTGAAAGCATGGCAGCATGCAGGTGCTGGACAAAGAGCTAAAAGTTCTACATCTTGACTGACAGACAGCAGAAAGATACCATAAGCCACTGGCTTGGCTTGAGCATCTGAGGCCTCAAAGCCTTCCAAGTGATACACGTCCTCCAACAAAGCCATATCTATCCAAGCAAGGCCAGACCTCCTAAAGTATCACTCCCTGTGAGTCTATGGTGGCTATTTTTTCAAACTACCAAAGACTGTTTCAGTTTTTAGAGCCTTTCATGTAAAAATTTATGTTAAAATTTAATTCCTAATACCTGTATAAGGAGATTTTTTCTAAACTTTTATTTATTTATCTGTTTATCTAATAGGGTTTTGTTGTTTCAGTGGTTTTTAGATAGTCTTCTGATGTACTCAGGCTGACCTCAAACTCTTGACCCTCCTCCTGCAAGTGTGTGCTACCAAACTCAGATTAAGGCAATTTTTTTTTTTTTTTGTTCCTATCATGTTGGCAGTACATAAAAATGCAATAAATTTGTTTTCTGTGGTTTGAGGGACTACATCCAAAGCCTTGAACTTTAACTGTATACAATCCCTAGCCCTGCAATCCATTTTTTGTCTTGATCTTATACCTGAGACTTTATCAAACTCCTCTGTCCCTCTCAGAGTTGTATATGTACAATGATATCACTTAATTAGGGACAGACTGAGTTCTATAGTATTTTCTTTCTTGGCTCATCACAGTAGTGCCAGTGTCGGTGACAGTCTGTCTCCACAGTCTTGTGATCATGAGGGCTGGGTACACTGCTAAACTCTAGAACACTTGCCTATCTTGTGCAAGGCCCAGTCTCAAAAATAAAACAATAACAAAATCCATATGCTACTTACTTTTTTAGCTTACTGACTTGGCAGTCTCCACTCGCTGACTTTGAACACTGAACCAACTTAGAGCTTCCTGGGCACTTTTTAATATACTAAGGACTTGATATGTTAGTATTTAATAGAGGGCTATGGAATCTACGTTTGTAAAAAATAGATTTTTTTTTTTAGTTTTCTTGTTTTGTCTTTGTTTTGGTATTAGAGTAACAGTGGTCTTATAGAAATATTTAAGAAGTATTCCTTTGTTTCCCACTTTCTGAAGAGACTAACATTAGTAATAATTCTTTTGAATTTTCTAGTAAAATAAACTGTGCCTAGCTTTTTTTTCAGGAACCTGTAAGTTACAAATAAAATTTCTTTAATGTGGGTCAGCAGTATTCATGCTGTTTACTTTATCTTGGTTGAGTGTCATCATTTGAGCTTTTAGTAGTTATTCCATTTCTCCTAAGTCATTAAAAGTTTGATGAATGTAAAGTTGTTCATAAAAATCTCATGTATCTTAACAGCTGCAGGGTTTGCAATGTCTTATCTTTTTCCCCTAATAGACAAATCTGCTTTTGTTCTTTGACACTGGCCCTCACTCTGTAGCCTATGCTACCTGGAACTCAGGATCCTCCTGTTTCAGGATCCTCTTTGCAGGACTTACAAGCATTTGACACTATTCCAAACTCTAAACTTGTGTCTGTACTCCTTAGTTTTGTTAAGCAGTTTATTAACTGTATTGCTTTTTTTCATAGAACAAGCTTTTTTTCCAATTTGATTTGTATTCTCATCTTTACAATTTTCTCCCTTTTGTATGCTATGAGTTGATTTTATGTCTTTCTTCTTCTTTTTTTTATAACTTAGTCTCTTATAGCCCAGGGTGGCCTTGAACTCCTAATCCTCCAACCTCTATTTCCCAAGTGCTGAGATCACAGGCATGTGCCAGCACACTAGGCTGTCTCTAATTTCTTGGAGTAGGAATTTAGTAGGTTCTCAGTGCCACACAGAAAGGCAGGTAACTATCATTAAATTAAAAAACAAACAAACAAAAAAACCAACAAAGCCCCTCTTGCCATTCCCATCCTGATTTTTTCCTGGAGGGAGGGAAAATACCTCCCTGGTGGTCACTTCTTATCAGCAGAGCTTCCAATCCTTGCCAGGTTTGGTTGGCTTGCCTTAGCAGTGTTGGCGCAAGTTCCATGCAATATATGGGAGGCCAAATCCACCTGGGCTACCTTCTGTTGCTAGGCAGGCTTGCATTGTGTTAAGACTGTGAGAGACAGCGTCCTGCTGGGTTGGTCTGTACGTTTCTCACACATCCTATCACCTTCCTCTGTCTAGCCTTCAGAGTTCTCTATTGCTCTGTAACATTTCCAGGTTTTACAGTTGTGTTTATTGATACGAGACAAATCATTTGCTGGACTGTTCAAATTGTGTTACGCATTTTTGTGGTTGGAAAACAGAAGTCTAAGAGGACAACTATGTGGCTTATTAATAGACCAGAGAAAAAAATAGTTTTAGGACCAGAACACAGGCTGGTGCATTCCTAGACCACCTGCCTTGCCACCCCACATCTGGTACCTAGATCTCACTGCATTAAAAGTAACTTGAAACTAAATTGTATTCACATGTATATTTACAATTATTTATGTCTGTGTCAAAGCATGCAGATAGAGGTCAAAGGACAACTTACAGGGAGCTGGTCCTCTACTTCTACCACGTGAGTTCTGGGATCCAACTCGGGCCCATGAGGCTTGGCAGCAAGTAACTTTTCATGTTTAGTCATCTTGCTAGCCCCATAAAACTTTTAATGCAATAAGAGTAGTGACAGAGCTTCTCTGTGTAGCTGTGTATTCTGCAACTCAT